AGGTTGGCCCTTAGTTTCACCCATAAACGCAATCCTGATACTCTCTTTGAGTAAACCTATATTCCTGTTTGAGTTCTGGATAAATCACACTAGAAAGAGCATTGTTACAGTTGGGGAGTGCAATCTTAATGTGAAACAGACATTGATGTTAATGTAAATGTGAAGGCTTTTTTACAGGCTAGATAAAAGAAATGTTGTTTGGAGTGCAACAAGTTCCTTATATCTGGGCTCAATCAAAGAGTTAGAGGTGGCTTAACTATATGTTACCAAAGTTACTGGAGGAGGTACCAAATGAGAGAAGTTTAGAATAATAATAATTGTATCTCTGCCAATGCAGAGAAAGAAAGTTAAGTTGGGAATTACGATCCTTCAATGGAATGAATCTAAATGAGACTTTCCATTTTAAATTTGCTTCTGCTTTTAAAAATACTGTTTTATTTGAAAGATTCAGGTACATTTACACAGCTTCTTCCTTAATATTACCTAGGTTTATTACATGCTAATGGGCCACTTTGTCCTGCTTATAAGACTGCTACAGTTGGGCCCGTTCATTGTCAGTTAGCTCACAAGACACAATCATAGCTCTCTTGCTTGGCAAAAGCCTATGTGGCTCATGTAAACCATTGCAAAACTTGGTTTTAATATGTAATGGACTAGCAGTTAACTAGTGGCTTTTTGAAATTCAGTAAAAACTCAATAGCCAATTTGGGTTTGAATGAGACAAAGATTTCTGTCATTATATTTGTGCATTTTCATAATTTGATAGACAGTTTGAAGATTGTACTCAAGTCTCCAGATGGACTGTATTATTTAGAATTCTATTGGGTTGTTGTTTTTTCTGAGAAAACTGAACTTCCAATAATACCACATTGCATTTCAACCAAGGCTTTTATTTCCTGGTTAAAAATGTAAAAGATTGAAAATTGAGGTATTTGCATTTGAAACTTGATTGCATTAGCTGTGGATGATAATTTATTACAGAGTCTCAATGCAGACATCACACCCAGGCAACTGGTTGGTATTATGTTCAAGTTGACAAACCGTGATTTTCTGTCAAACCAGAATCTGAAACCATGATTTAAAGTGCAAACTGTAGCCTGTCTATGCATGGTTTGGCATTATGTTTCTATTGAGTAATTATAAATATGGCCCTAGAGACCAAAGTGTTGAATGGGGAAAAAGTGAAAGCAGATCAGAAACTCGCCATGTGCGTGCCGGTTCGCCAAGGCTCCCCCCCTGACATTTTCCTCACATTAACTCCTTAGATCAGAGTTCACCAACTGATGAACCGCACCAACTTTTTTAGACTAGTAGGCACACTTGAATCTTGAATGAATACTGGAGGCACCAGCCATAACATGGCTGCCATGTGGGTGTTAGTACCAAGAGTGAAGTACATTGTGTGAAGATACTATGGGGTATTTGAGGGATCAGCATCCTTTATCTCTTTCACAAGAGGCAGCTGAGGAATTGAAGAAGGAGGAGTTTTGAGTACAGGTAGAAAGGGAGAGACACTATATGGGGGAGCCGGGTGCTGTTTTGAACCATGGCCAAAGTCTAAGTAGAGCAGCAGCAGAGAGACACTGAGAGGAAAACAGGGACGCGGACTTATAAAAAATATTGGGGGGGCCCGGGAAAGCTCATGAATAATAAATAAGCTCATGAATATGCAAATAAAGTGGCTCCGGCCCTAAATAGGGCAAGCCACGCCCCCCAGCCAGCCGATTGGCTGGCTGGGAGGTGTGGCCAGTCGGGATTCCCCTGTTCTCGCGGGGGCTGAAACCGCCAGGAGGAAGGAAATATATGCAGTGGCGGTTTGCAACAGCGAGAGGACGGATAGAGATTTGAGGGGGAGCTCAAGCCCAGGAGTCGGCGCCTATGGAGGAAAATAATGGTTTTAAGCAACAGAGATTGAGTTTTTAAAGCAGGGGGTAGGCAGACACTGGGAAGGGTCTGGTTGAAAAGAAACATCGAGCGTTTAACAAGGGAAAATACAGAGCTATAGAGATGAGTGCAACACAGAAGCTCACATGAAAAGTTAACAGCATTTGCAAGCTTCTCTTCTCTCCTTTTTAATCTAAATTTTCGACAAAAAGAAGTTCAACAGAAAATGACAAATCTCTTTTTAAATTTGTTTAAATCTTTTGGTATGCATTTGTCCAGTGCTTTTTTTCTAAAAGAATGTTTAGGGGTACTCTCATTTTTCTACTCATATTGAAATACTGCCCTTCAATGAGGCCGAACCTAGATTCACAAAATGTTTAGGGGTATGCGTCCCCCCTGAAAAAAAGCACTGCATTTATCACAGTCACGGAAGTATCCAGTATAACAGAATTTTGTATTGTGTCCCCACATAAAGATAGGCTGGGGAAAATACAGTCTGCATTGGCTCCATATTGTACTTTGGAGGTGTAGTAAACAGAGGAGAGCCCAATATGATGAAAAGAGGGATCTGGCACACATATTTACAGCAGAGAGCTAGCTGTTGGCTTCTGTCTGTGGGCTCATGCATGAGAATTTTAGAGTATTAGAATAGCGTAAAAAATGTTCATCTAAATAATGTTTTACATTTTAAATTAGATATGGCTTTTGGTGGAAACAGCTGGGAAGTGCAAGAAGGGGAAGGTAAAGTAAGAGAGAAGTAATGCAACTACACTCTTTAAAGATGCATTAAAACTTGGGGATTCTAAAGTAGGCTTATAGATAGATGAGCCTGCAGAACTGGGACAAAGTCTGCTCAGCATCCACAGATGGGCCTTGGCTTTCACTATTATCTGCTTGAGATCACAAAAGGGGGGTTTAAGGTGATTCTCTCTCCCAGCTCCCTTCCACATTTGCATTGAGTGAAACCTATTGTTCGTTGCCACTTCCACAAAGAGAGGAGGATGGGTAAGAGATGCGAACAGCCTGTTCCTATTCCTGGTAGCTTTGGGGATCAGACAGGCAGCACTGGATTCTTCTACTCTACCTCTGCCAGGCAGGGTGTTAATGTGGCGTGAAAGCAGTTTAAAGCCTTGGGCCTCTCTTGGAGCCAGCAGGGTGTCCGAGGCAGGCCCACATCCCCAGTGGGTGGCTGTCAGTGGCAGTGCGCTCTGTTAGGCAGAAATTTATTAGTATTATTCCCCCCCTTTTTTTTTTTTGTTAGAGCAGCAAGGAGTGTAAGTGACAGCTGTATTAAGAACCACAGTGCCTCCGAATGGGATCAGAAGCCATCTGCACAGAGGTTCTTGACAAAAAGCCTTTTCAAAGTGCTTAGTCGCGTCTTAAGAAATGGGGAGGAGAGAAAAAGGAAGGAAAATGAAGGGGTGCCTGCTGTTTCTGCAGATTTTTAGCCTCCTCTTTTTTATTATTATTTGCCTGTTTGCTTCATGCAGTCCTCATTCTTTTCTGCCCCTCCAACAATGTGGAGAACTCTCTAATTCAGATCCCAAAGCCCAGTCAGAGGAATGACCTCTCCTCTCCCTCCTGTGGTTTACTGTCTCCCCATATCTGTTTTCCCAAATGGTTGAGAGTGGCAGCTTGGATTTTTCTTCTTTTCTTTTTTTTAAGGAGACATAAATTCAAGACTCGCACTGCAGCACCTGGCTTTGCAACGGGTGCTGCTATCAGGCGGGCCAGAAACATTTTAAGAAGCCAAAATCTCTTTGTTCTTTTTAATCTCCCCTTCCCCCTGTCTGTCCTTCAAGCTTCCTGGCATGCTCAGCTGCATGGCTTTGGTGAAAAATAATGCAAGCGGTTTTATCATTAACCTGCTCAGCTGCAAATCTTCCCACCCTTCCCCTGCAAATTCACACATAGATTTGCATATGCAATAGGCTGTATTCTTCCATTCTACAGCAGCTTCCTATCTGGGGAGTTCCTTGTGAAGAGCTATATGGGAAATAAGACCTCTACAGATTAAATGTGCACAATTAGTTTCTTCATATTAGATAAGGTGGAAGTGGGTGTGCTGTGTAGCTTTTTTGTGCTACTTATAATTGACACTGCCTGTTTTCACCTTGGCTGCTACATTAAGACTTCGGGGAGGGGGGTATTTAAGTATATCAGATCAGAATTTCTGCCAGTAGCTTTAGAAAGCCTCAAAGTACTCCTGAGCTTAATCCTTTATTTTCATGTTATCTTATCTTTCTTTGCAGTATGTTTATATTTATCTCCATTTTCTGGTATCTTACAGCTTCAGTGTTATTTTAAACATACATGTTTCTTTTAACTGTTTGTGGGATTTTCTAGTGATGCAGCATTACTGACCCACGGATGAATTATGACTGATAGTGCATTTCTACATGTGGCTATAGCCACAAGCTTAGATGGATTTTTAAAAAGCTTTTTTGTGACCTATGGAAAGTTATCTGCATATGCTAAAATCACCCCATAATGTATGGGGGGCAAATAAGAGAATGTGATAACTTATCCATGTCCAGAGATTTGCATGCATCAGAAATGCTGAGTCCAGGATCATTAAATGGAAATAAATTCAGTTTGTTTCAATGTCTGCCTTTGTATCATGACCATAGTTACACATTCTTAAAAATGCACACAAGTATTTGAAATGCATGCAATATAGTAGCGAAAAATCAATTGCCAAAGTAAGTTTATTTCATATATACACTCAGAGGTCAAAATTCTGTTCCTATGTATAAATGTACAAGCATATATTGACACCCTCCATAAAGATGCAGGAAGAAATTTATCTCTGTAAATATTTGTATGGGGATTTTTTTACCTTGAAAATGGTTCATCCTGAAATTATGGGGAAAGGAATGTACATTCTTTTCAGATATGTTCTCTTTACATGCTGTAGGCTGGGCCAGGTTCATCACCTAGGCAACTTGGGAAGCTTCCTGGTGTCCCAGCGCACAAGGGAACCCAGATAAGCAACACTGGAGTCAGGCACTTTCATCCTACCTTCTTCCAAGATTCATTTGGAATATCCATTATCGTGCAAAGTGTCCAATGCTATCACAAAATTACCTACTGAATCTTGAACTCTCTTTGCCCAGAGCCCCTCTCCTCGGCTGCCAGGATGGCATTCGCGGGGGTTTAACTCAAAGTCCTGAGCATGAGCCACACAAATCCCTCCGAGCAGGGCCAACTGAGAATAGATAAGAAATCAGGAGTTTTCTTGCATGTTCTATATTTCAGAGCTGCAGGAGTGACACAATAATTAAGGTGAGTGACTTTCTCCCTCCAAGCATTCTATTTTTATAAAGCCTGAAAATTCTATTCCTCATAAGTGAGACTGGCTGTCCTATCAGTAGGACATGTGGCATAGAGAATCTACCTCGTGAGGGGTATAATTTGATTAAATTTCAGAAAAGTCTCAGGAATGACGGAGTTAAAGCAGTTTAAAAACTTTTCAGTTAAGGTTAAGCGGCTGCTGTACGCCCACACAAAATATATCTGAAATTTCTCCCTTGGTTGGTTTAAATAATATTTGCAGAGAAACCAAGTATATTAAAAGAGTGTGACTTTAGCAGGTTTGATGTGAATCAGTTAGGTATCATTAGCCTATGAGAGTTCAAAGTTCCCATTTTAAACTGTTCATTAATTAGGTGCAGGAATTACAACTCATGCCTATTTAGCAGATTGAAACTTCTCGGTTGGAACCCACTTCCAAAAAACCCCATAAAAATAGCCTTCTCTGGAGTTAACAGTCTGCAGTGGCATGTTTGCATTTGACATGCTCCTCTGTGTATGTATGTGTGTGTTTGTGTGTTTGTGAAGCTGACAGAAAGAAGAACTACCTCTTATTTGCAGTCTCTGGCTTGGCTCGCTTCACTGATCTGCTCCATGCACCCATACTTCCCCTGGTTTTTCAGTTCCACTCTTACATCTGCAGACCAGAGGAATATGAAACCACTAAAGCATCATGCCCAAACAGGAAATAGCAACCCAGATATCTCTATCCCTAACACATGCGTTGGGGAACCTTTTCCAGCCCCAAAGCCACATTCTCTCATGGAGAACCTCCCAGAGGCTATGATACCACTAGCAAGGTAAGGGATATGACTCTAACCTTTGGACAGTAGGCTAAATTCCAACCACACAAAGCCATAGTTTGCCAGTTTGAATGCAATTGCAAACTATGGTTTGCACTAAACAGAGTTGAAAGGAGCACATAAGCCTGAAGTGTGCTCACATAACTCCAACAGTGGTGTAGTAGTAGTAGTATCTATGTACTGAGGAAGTTGTGACGCAGAAAGAGGCAAGGAGTTCTCTCTCTCTCTCTCTCTCTCTCTCTCTCTCTCACACACACACACACACACACACACACACACACACACACTATTTTTCCGTCCTTGCCAGATGCCAAAGCTGGTCTTCTTTCTCCTTTGTTGTAAATGCATCAAGGGAAAGAAAAGCCTGGTGGGAGACAGAGGGCTCTTGCATGTTCACAGCAACATAAACAGTGGATGAAAGGACTATATTCCTTTGGGGCAGAGAGTAGTTGTTGCTAGATTTCTAATAACTTGTAACCTCCAGTGTGCATGCACATGTCCTAAGGGATGGAGGCCATGGTATACCAGGACCAGAAAACCCTGTTGGCGGCCCAATTTATTTGCTCCTGTTCTGTATATTACTGGAGCACTTCAACATTTAAGCCGTGTGTTTACAGCTTCTCACAGTACCATTTGAATTCAAAACAATTTCTAAAAGAGTGGTTTTATTTCCTTTATCTAATACTTCTCTTCTGGGATGTCTTGCTCTGTCGATGAATCTACTCAAGGGAATTTAGAATAAATGAGTTGGGGAGCAGGGGGCGGGGAGAGATGCTGTCTCTTATGAGCTAAGCTCATTATTGCGCTGCCTTTTTAGCCCCTTTAAATGCTAACATGCTTGTATTCCTTCTCACAATTTAGGCTTGCCATATGTCAGGGGGCAAAAGGTCAGAGAAAACCCGGATGTATGGCAACGTGGTGGAAAAAGCAGCGGAAACAGCTCAAAAAGCTTAAAATCACTATTTTGGGATTAGGTTCTCCCCCCCAACCCCCTCCCCCACAATTTTTGTGGTTTCCTAAAAGACAACTTTGCGGGTGTCAGGAATTTTAATTTTTGAAATATGGCAACCCTATCACAATTATCAGACTTGAGATGTACTCCTAAAATGATAATATAATCCATATAGTTAATTGCTGTGATTGTTTTAAGGAATAGAGGAGGCAGAAGGAATAGTTTGTTAATAGGGCTGAGTTGCTGTAATGCTTTTAATAGAAACTAGTATTATTATTATTATTATTATTGGGAAGAGCTTACCAAACCAAGACTTCTTCCTCTGGAACAGAGGCTCTCAACCTAAGCCTTCTAGGGTTCAATCTTTATGGAAGCCGAGATGGGCAAGCAAAATGTATGCAAGGTATAATTCCCAATTGATTGTATTCATACTTCGGCAGAGAGCCATTCTTTAGTTTTAATTTTACATCTATACATTTTACTGCAGGCGGCGCCTCCAGAAAGATGCATGTCACCATAGTCATTTATCTCTGTTTAGGGCAGATATATGGGCCTCCTCCCTACTTGAAACCTGGTGTCCATTAAAGAACTGCATGTCCAACTCACGATTAGCTGAAGTTCAGAATGTCCAACTGTGAGTCAATGGAAAGTTTTCCCTCCCAGTTCAGAGCTGCTGTTCTGTAACAATTTTGGTAAAAGACACACAGAGGTTTTCAGTTATTCCCTCCTTAGTCCTGCAGTTAATATGTCAATGCAGTACTACCAGGTCCATAGTGGGATGCTGCTGTTGCACCATTCTAGTTTCCAGAAAAGGAGGGGGAGAGAAACAGACCGACAGACAGACCTTGCTACTAGCAGTGCATCTCTCTGTAACAACAATGGAGGGGTGGATTTGGGGGAAAGAGAGTTGGAGTGGACATGGGAGGGAAGACTAGCTGGCAGAAGTAACAGTGGTGGGCAATCCCCAGTACATCACATTCAAAGGCAAATTTGGAAAGGTGTGGGCCTCTCCAGCCTTTTGAATGAGGGGAATTCATATTCCAAATGCCCCATTCCAACTTCACCTCCAGCATTACTCCGCACACCATCCTTCTAACAGCTTGGTTTAGGCAAAATGGCATCTGCTTTATCCAGACAGGCTATATCTCTTGATCAGAATCTCATAAAGCAGAAGAGTGACTCAGTATATGCATCAGATACTTCTTAGATAAAGAAGAATCTGTTCAGCATACAGTGTAGATTGTGGGAAGCATAAAGGAAGAGAATAAATAGCATATACTTCTAGGCAGGTGGGGGACAGTAGACTTAAGGTATTAGAAGTAGCTAGCAGAAAACCAGTAACACATGATTGAATTACAAATCCAGGATTTTCACATTTGAAGGCCTGATAAGACTATGTCATTACCCATTTTTGTCAGCATGGGGAGAATCCTTGTTCAAAACGAACTGCCGTTCCAAATTTCCGTGGATTTTGGTGAACCGGAAGAGCAGGAGGGGTTCAGGTAGACAGGTTAACTTAACTGATACATGCTACAAATCACCAAAGTTTTGTCTTACATCACATTTTCACAAAAGTCTGGCCAGAACTTATTGCTAAACCCCTGTTTGTCAGAAAGGAGTGGGACTGGAGGAATGAATGCTTATTTGTCCTCTCAGCAGCAGAAAGAAAAGTCTGGAGGTCAGGATTAAAGAGCCCAAAGGTGTCCCCCTCTAAATCTCCCATTAGCCTGATTCCTGAAAACCAGAGCTGAAAACTGCAAACAACAAAGTCTTGAAACATCCATTGCAATAAAATCCTTAGGATGCTGTCAGCCCTCCATACATGCAAGCACAAATTAGAGAGAGAGTGTGTGTAATCGCTCATGATTGTATCAGATATGTGAGAAGGCAATGCTGTTGTCATTTGTGCATCAAACAGATTCACTTCAGACAATAGTCTCTAATCACAACATGTATTGAAAAATATGGTCACATTTTAAAATTACCGTGGAAAGCAAATATTCCCTCAATTAATGTTGTCCTGTGAAGTAGCCATTAAAATGACAAATGCATTGAAAGGTCCTGCGTATAGAGAACAACTGATTTGATTTCTCACATCACACAAAAGCTTCCATACAATAGGCAGGGTGTTCCAAAGTGCAGATGCTGCCACACTAATTGAATTCTTACAAATGTGGACTGGGTGTTACGTGGCACCTGTAGTAGTGCGAATTCCGCCGACCGAAGCGGTCGAGTGGGCACAGGTGTGGTATGGCCCTTCCCCTTCATGTGAGAGACTTTAATAGCAATTCCCATATGAACTGCAAGATCTGATTACTACAATTATTTCTCCTTTTGCCTCTTTTACGGGAGATGGAGGAAGTACCATCTGTTTTGCTCTGAGACCATCGGTTCTTGTTAATTAAGACATGTTGCACTAGTCTCTTGTTATTCTCCAGATAAGGAACTGCCAGCTTTTGCTTTCCTTTGCAGATGTCTCTCTCCTCCCACCCCCCTGCTGGGTTCCATCCATACTCAGGTGACAGGTGGAAAGTAGCCAGGTTCAGCCCCCAGTTTTTATAGTGGCTGAGCCACATAAACACTGATAAGAAAATTTTCTTCAATTAGAACGGGGATGGAGAGAACCTGTTAACTCTTCAGGTATTCCTGGACTCCATCCCTGGCCATTGGCCATACCGCCTGGGATTAATAATGGAGTCCAATAAGACATGGAGGGTAACAGGTTCCTCATCCCTCATTCAGGAATACGCTTCTTTTCTCTTTTGCTCAACTTCCACTATTCTTTTTCCCTCCATGACCATCCTTCCATTGTCAGCTGAGGGAATTTATATCATACCTGCAAATCTCACCCCACCCAACGCTGACTCTATTTTAAGGCACTTAGCAAGGTGTGACCCACATTGGCCCCAAGTCAAAGGGCTGGGTGCTGACAGGTTCCATGCACAAAGTAGGACTTCTGGTTTGCCTCCTTTCAGTAGCAACCCACTCAGCTACGCTGGTCCTTGGGAACAGGATCCAGTGTCATGTTGTCTTTAAAAAGTTTTGGACACTTGCACTGGGGATATCTCCACTCAGCCAGGAAGCGCCCTGGGTGACCTTAAGCCAATCACTGCCTCTCAGTCTAACCTACCTCTCATGGGTATTGTGGGGAATAAAACTGGGAGGCAAGGCTTGTATGCCATCTTGAGGTCTGGGAAAGAGAGGCATGATATAAATGAAGAAATAAAATTACCAGTTTCTGGGCGCTTTTAGGAACACACAAACCTGGCCAATGCAACACAATAAAATGTTGTGAGAGCCCTTTAAAAACATAGCTTTGGTTCAAATATTAGCATTCACAGGCTTGGAGATAAATTTACATTCAGGTTCAACATACAGTAACAGTGCTTGAAATCTCATCTGCTCTCTCCAGTGGACCTACTTTTTCTGTTGGTGGCTCCTATGTGGCTAGAATAAAGTTTAAATGAACCAACAAAGCAGTGTTCAGTCAGGCAGCTCTCTACCATTTCCAGATGTTAGTTGTTTTGCCAGTTTTCAGAAAAAGAAACAGCATGAAACACCTGTTATAAAATATATTTGCAAATATTACATAGAAATAAGTAACCCCTGGAACATTTGATTGCACAGGCTTAATTCGTTGACAAATGTTTGTTTGTTTTAATTTTAGGAAATTTAGAAGAAAATAATAGCCTTCCAAGAGAAGCTACCAGATCAGAACACAAGAGAAGTGTTTGTTTTAAACTTCTGTTTCACTGTGATACTTCAGTCTTTGTGATACATAATTTTTAATGTATAGGGATAGCTGTGGTGAGAGAGGAGTGGAAGACTATAAACAGCAATTGAATTTTTTTTTCTGGGAAAGGAGCTCAGATTGAGGGGGAGGATGTGTCAGAGATTAGTTGGTTCTTTGTGAGATGGATGATTGTTCAGACAGCTAATGGGGGGGTGTGAGCTTGTGTAAGCTGCCTTCAGGCAGTATTAGGAAGGTGTTGAAATAATTGAGGTTCTTCTGAGTGGTTTACAGAGAAATTAATTAATTAGAGCAAATTTCAGGCATGCAGTCTTTGTTTGCCTGGGTCATTCTCTTCAGGGGTGTTACATAATATTCCATTCCAAAGTATTATTGTAGTTCCCTTCCTTCTAGATTTTTTTTAAAATTATATTTTATTAAGGTGATTTCAGTTAAAAGAAATAAAGTGATACAGAAAAAAAGAAGGGAACATGAGAGGGAGAAGAACAACAACACAGTTACACATAAAAGCGAAAATATGCAAAAAAAAAGAAGCAATATACAATATTCCCATACATTCTTGTATAAATTGGTATAGTGTTATTGTCCTAGTGATTATGTAAATGTTAATAGCCTACTACATTTTGTATGAACTCATTCCAAATGTTATCATATTTATCCATTCAGTGTCTGTGCCTATAAACAGTCCATTCATAAATTACCAGTGACATCATATCGTCAGTCCATTGATTGAAGGGTATCATATGTTTATTTTTCCAATTCCTCAGTATCAATCTCTTGGCCACCATTAGGACATGCAAACTCCATTTCCGTTGTCCCATTGATAATTTCCATACTGCAGGTATATACTGTAGTTCAATAAAATATTCTCTGCTGAAACATTTTAACTTTTTCTGCACAGTCATAGTTACACAGTCCAACACTTTCTCCCAAACTTGTTAAGTAAAGAACACTGTACAGACATGTGTTTCAGAGAAGCATTGTCCTTGCCACATCTCCAACACTGAGCTATCTTAGCTAATCCTTCTTTATACAATCATAAAGGAATCTAATAAACTCTAAATGTTATTTTCTGTTGTATTAGTCTTAGTTTTAAATCTAATGACACCTTAGGTATTGAAGCTAATACATTTTCCCACTTTCTGGGTAATAATGAAAGTTCCAATTCTTTATTCCAATCATCTCGTACAGCCTGCATATTGAACGTGTGCATTGTTAATAGATCTCTATAAAAAGTAATTGCTGGCTTTTTTATTTTTGAATGAGTTGCCCGATTGCTCCAGTGTCTCAGTTATCTCAATCTACCTTCTAGATTGATGTAAGAGGGGAAAAGCAAATGGAGAGGCATGTCATGCTTATTGCTTATGGCTTATTGTATCCATTTTTCAGTAAGAAATATCTTGCCTTAGCTTGCCAATTCGGTAAATATGTTTCAAGCCTGATTTAGCTCTCAAGGAATTCAAAATAAGCTGCAACAATGTCTGTTTACTTATGTGCTTAGCCATACAGCCCCACTTGCCCCAAGGACTCTGTAGCACGTTAAGAGATCCTCTAGACTGAGCTAAAGGACATGCAACTGTGTGCCAGTGTTGGTGACGCAGTGGGTGCATCACTGCCTTCTAGTGATTCATCCACTCAAGGTCAGGGAGGAGGGCTTATCATCTGATTCAGCAGCATAGTGTAATATTCTAGCTCCTTATTCCACCACCTAACTTTCCACAAGAACTGAAAAAGCCACATTGCTATTTTAGACAGCTGCATTTCCATGTCACCTCCTTTTAGCTAGTTACAGTATTGGCTCTGCTCAGTTCCCACACTCATATATCTCTGCCACTTGTCTTCCTTGCTTGTATTCACTCCCTCTCCCCAGCCGCCTTGTTCCCATTCGAGAGTAACTGGTCCAACAGCTCCGAAAAATATTCAGTCCCAGTCAGGTTGGAATTTTACTTTGAGAGATGGCAGTGGCGTAGCGTGGGGGGTGCAGGGGGGGCCGGCCGCACCGGGCACAACATCTGGGGTTAGGGCAAATCCACAGGTTAGGGGGCGCAAATCCACGGGTTAGGGGGTGCAAATTACTTGCCTTGCCCCGGGTGCTGACAACCCACGCTACGCCACTGAGAGATGGTCAGGTCCTGCTTTTGGGCATCCCATAGGCATCTGGGTGGCCACTGTGAAAACAGGATACTGGACTAGATGAGCCATTTTCCTAATCCAGCATGCTTTACTTACATTCTTAGGATGATGGTTTTACTGTTAGCAGCCACACTATCAATAGGGCAATCAAAACTGTTTGTCTTGCCCATTTCTGGTGCCCTCTAGGTTAGTCTCCGCCATTCCTTCCCAGCTGAGAGAGATTGCTAAAGATTATCTTGCTGGCACTCTTCTGTTAAGAAATGGACTTTTTCACTTCCCTTGTTGCTTTGATTATATTGACCTCTGGAGTTCAATTAATCATTATTTCCCTTCAGCCAGGTTGCTGACCCTTCCTTTGTTTCTATGATTCAGTCACTGAATTTAACCCCTCTTTTTGTATCTACTGTAAACAAAAAGAACAGACTTGCAATGAATGAAGGGGCAAAGAAAATCACACATCTTATGTAGATAAAAAAAGGGTAAAGGACCCCTGACAGTTAAGTCCAATCGTGAACGACTCTGGGGTTGTGGCACTCATCTCGCTTTACTGGCCGAGGGGGAGCCAACGTTTGTCCACAGACAGCTTCCGGGTCATGTGGCCAGCATGACTAAGCTGCTTCTGGAGAAACCAGAGCAGCGCACAGAAACGCCATTTACCTTCCCGCCAGAGCAGTACCTATTTATCTACTTGCACTTTGACATGCTTTCGAACTGCTAGGTTGGCAGGAGCAGGGACTGAGCAACAGGAGCTCACCCTGTTGCGGGGATTCGAACCGCCAACCTTCCAATCAGCAAGCCCTAGGCTCAGTGGTTTAGACCACAGTGCTACCCGCGTCCCCCTTATGTAGATAGCAGTACATAATTCTGCAAACCCTTCCTGTCTAATAACACCATAATGGGTTGATAGTTTCACTTATAAACTCTAGGAATAAACACCCCACACGGTATAACTTTGCCTGACATGTGGAGCAAGATGCTACGCTGTGAAAAGTCAATTCTTGTCGCACATCTTAGTTTTCAGAATGGCTGGTCACAGGATAACCAGCCAGTTATCATGTATTATCTGTGCTTCATATATTCTCCAGAAACAAGATGGTCTATTTATCATATTTGCAGTGCTGGGGCCTGAGAAGAGAGTGAAAAATTAGGAGCCTGTTGCAGGTACTGTATAGAAATTACTATTTACAGCACTACAGGCCAAGCCACCTACAGACACACATAGTGGTCCCATGGGTGTCCACAGCAGAGGTGATGGGGGAGCTGTTGTGTCACCAGCCCCAAAGAACTATAATCTCCAGATCCCCAGTTTTCATTTTTTTAAAAAATAATGTAAGTTTTCAGTCTTCGTAGAAACTTAGATATGAGGCAAAATGTGCTGCTCACATTTTTGTGTGAGAAGAACTGGACTGCTCCCCCTTTTCAGTTTTTTACACCCCACCCTTGCCCTGGCAAACTTCCTATGGGTACCCGATAGCCCAACACCCCCTTTTAAACCAGAGAAGTTGCTTTGAGATGAAGCAGTTGGGATTAGAGAAACACAGATGTGCTTAATCCTTCCCTGCCCACCCTTTTTCTGAAACATACTCCTCCTTCCCCACAAAGATTTCCCTCCACGGGGTTTGAGATTCTGGGTTCCAAAAACATGAGAGAACAAGCATTCATTTAAAATCCTGCATGTTGATGAGCTGCCAAGAAAAGACTGGGTGTTCACATCTCCGCTTCCAGTTGCATTTCTGCTTTTCTGAAGTGGTTCTTCTGGTTTCACCCTCAGAGCACACAGAGATCTAGGAACCAATTTTCTCTCTCCTGCTGTGCTCCCCCCCCCAAAAAAAAAGATGGCACAAAAGAGGAGGGCTGGCATAGCCCATACTAAGGTAAAGGACCCCTGAACGGTTATGTCCAGTCAAAGGTGACTATGGGGTGTGGCATTCATCTCGCTTTTCAGGCCAAGGGAGCTGGCGTTTGTCCACAGACAGCTTTCCGGGTCATGTGGCCAACATGACTAAACCGCTTCTGGCACAATGGGACACAGTGACGAGTGCCAGAGTGCATGGAAATGCCATTAAACTTCCCACCACAGCAGTACCTCTTTATCTACTTGCACTGGTGTGCTTTCAAACTGCTAGGTTGGCAGAAGCTGGGCCAGAGTAACGGGAGCTCACCACTGTTGCACGGATTCGAACCACCGACCTTCAGATCGGCAAGCCCAAGAGGCTCAGTGCTTTAGACCACAGCGCAACCCGCATCCCTAGCCCATACTAGCTTGATCAGAGCTTTGCAATCTGCTTGTAATATATAACAAGCCCAAATCTGGTGTTTTAGCATGATATAGTATGTATGTATGTATGTATGTATGTATGTATGTATGTATGTATTTGTGATTATCACGTGAGAAGGAGGATGACTGAGAATAGTTTCTTGCCTGTGTCATTTCTAAGAGCTCAGAGGCTTAGTGGATTAATCTTCCATCGGGGACTGTGAATCAAGTTGAAGTGTAGGACAGGATTATTATTAAGACTGAGACTCTCTGTCAGTTCACTGATGGAAATTGGTCCTTCTTCATCAGGACAGCAGCAGGGAGGTTCTGTAGCACGTCTGGCCTTCAGGGTGGGAGCATGAAGGGGCATGGTGGACATGTCTTGTTCCAGTATACACCAGTGGCAAAGGTGAATGTATTTCTGTTCTGCATCATTCCCCTCAGGCTGATTTTGCAGTGTCAGCCAACTAAAGGAGGATTTATTGTCATCTTTATAGTGTCTATTGAAAAAACCACCCTGGATAGTCTGTATTCCATCTAGATTAAAGAACATGCCTGTCATTTTGTGGAAGGTCTACTGAATTTCTGTTGTGGTCGTTTGATTTCCTCTAAGACAGGGGTGAGCCAATATGGTGTTGTTGGACTACAACTCTCATCAGCCCCAGCCAACATGGCCAATGGTCAAGGATGATGAGAGTTGTATTCTCACCAACATCTGGAGGGCACCACATTGGCAAACCCTACTCTATATATAGTGTGTTTGGCAGGTTCCACCATACCAGTTGGGCAAACCAGTCCCCATACGCCATATGGCAACTAGGTTGGTGCTTGTGTTGATCCCCATTTCATTCCCCACCCCTCAACCTGAGTGAACAAATGCAAATAGGAACAAAGTTCAGGGACTTATTTTTTCCAGGTATATTATTTTGCTACCCTTGGCCTCAATCACCAAAAACAGCAGAGCAGAACATTAGATTCACACCCCACACCCCTTTTATTGGCATTATCCTTGTGCCTCAGTATGACATCAATAAATTTAAGTGGATGAAGCTTTCCCCCTAACTTTACCACCATGAAAGCCCCAACATCTCCAGCATGAAGAAATTACTCAATTGGCTAAGATATCTCAGTTGCAACCATTAGCCACTTAAACTCTTACCTCTGCTTTGGAATGTAGCCACAAGTCAAAAAATGACTAGTAATGGGACAGGTTTCTAAACATGCAGGTGCATGAACTGGAGAGAGAGCGAGAGCAGAACATGGTGAGATTTATAAAGCTTGGCAGATGGGAAATTTAATACAGTGGAAATTTCCTATTAAAT